TTCCCATGGGGATGAGGCAAGATCAATGATCCCAGCACCACCACCAGAGCTCTAAATAGCACCCAGGCCTCCCAGCTCCCTGGCAGCAGCACCATGTTCTCTACACCTTAAACCACGCAGATGGCAGGAGAGCAGACAAACAACACAAGGAAACGTGGTTTTGAAATCATTGTTTTGGGATTTCAGGTTCACTTCGAAATACTAATAGCAAAAAACAAGCCAGTAAAATTTCTCCCTTAAAATCTTTCTTAACACTCAAGTTGTTGAGGTACCTAAGGAACACCAAGGCATCTTTGCACAGCTGAAGGATGGAGCAATATGCAGCCAGATGAGTTGTTCCCTAGCAGAAGGGAACAGTCATCACCGGTAAGCAAACAAGGCAACAAACCAGGTCTTTTTCCATTGCTAGCTTCAACAAAAACATTCAAATCCGATTTGGCCTAACAGCTTTCTTATTGAGAGACTAACACATAATATAAGCAAAAGTCGTACCAAAACCTGCCACCTACGCTAATATCCGTGCGTTATACTTTGTTCCTCTCAGCCACTAATTATGGATTAGCACCACAGGCTCTTTCCAAAAACTTCATCCTGCAGACTGCCGGGTTGTACTCCCACTGCTCTGCAGCACTCACTGAGAGTCTTTCCAGCTGGAGCTCCTCTTTGCAAGCCTGCGAAGCTTTGGAGAGAACAAGGAGCCACCTCCGAGCTCCGGGCACACAGCCGCACAGGGGGTGCAGGTGGGCAGACAGCAGGCCTCCAGCAGCATCCCTGCACGCCCGCTGTGTGGGCGCTGAGGAGCTGAGCTGTGACCGACCTGCACTGCGCCAGGTGGTGGGCAGGGGAGGGCAGGCCCTGGGCCAGGGACACGTCACACCACCTAACATTTGCCTCTCAGTGTGCACTCACAGCTGTGTATTTGGTGTAGGCCTGTACTCCTCTAACAGCTCAACCACCGGGCACACTGAGCTCCATGGCACCGAGGGCAGGCTGTAACCGCTGAAACTGGAGGAGGGCCGCGGGCGCCAGAGCTGCTCTGCTAACACTCAGGAACTGCAGGGTTTCAGCCGATGGCGGCCATAGCTCCACAACATACAAAAGACAACACCTTCAAGCCCTCGGCACCCACAGATGCCCTACAGCAACCTTGCGCTGTCTTTTCACTACCTCTCCCCTGCAACCCCATTTGCTACCCTGTTCACCTCAGGGGACCTGTGAAGGCTACCCTCGACTAAGGGCTGGCCCAGAGAACTAAGAGGATAAAAAAGTTTAATATTATATCCCCTACTACAGTTTTAACCCTGCTTCTTGTGCCCATACATGCCAGACTTTTACTTTATTTCTTAACATTTCTTGAACTTGTATGTGAAAGAAGTGATTTAAAAAACAACTTCAGCTCTGAATTCCCCCACTTGGTGTGTTTAAAACTGTCTAGGATGTGTAAAACTATCATATTGAAGGTATAAAGTAAGCATCCAGCTTTGTGAATTTTAATTCACTAAACACATGGTAGACATACAAGCATCCCTAAAAACACTGCTGGAAATTGCTTTTCTTCTCAACTAAGATTTTTAAGATTAAACGTTACCCATACCAGAAAAAAAAAAGTTAAACGTGTAACTTCTGTGAAGTAAAAAAAAAATAAATAAATAAATCAGAAATTTCAAGAAAGCAAGATAGCACAGACTCAATGTTAATTTTATTTAATTAAGTACTTAAAGACTTCAAGATATAAACTAGGAGGCTTTATGAGCAGGACTGGAAAAACCTCTTGTAAGGTGCGATACAGTTTTGATAGACGCTTACTGGATTTACATTTTGCTGAGTACAGTCACTGAATCCTAACCCAAAACTTCTCAAAGGATTCAGAGGAAAAAAAAGGACTTGAAACAAATACCTTGTTGAAATGCTCTACAAAGAGCATAGCTCAAGAGCTATGACCTTGATTTATATATGAAAAGAGAAATACAAACAGGGTAAGTTTCCCACTGACAGGTAACTTATTACAGGCACACTGCTTAACATCCAGTATCGCCCACCTGAAATGCTAGCCGGCAGCAGTATCACCTTTCCCTTGGAGATGGTTCAGGTCAATACAAATGACAGCAAAAAAAGGCAGGGGGGGACGACAACAGAAGATCTTTCAAAATCAGTGCAAAATCATCATCCTAGATGCATGGATAATGAACACAATTTCTGAAACCATCTGAAGGGAGATATGGCTGCTCTTTCAAGGAACAAAAAATGATCAAAGACAATCTTTGCGCACATAGTTAAACATGGGGAAGGAAAGCTCAGCATTAAATGTGGCAAATGCCACAAGCTGCGGGCCACTAGCAAAACCTGATCTGTTGCTGCCCCGTCAATGCCCTGCCTCTGCCCTCCCTTCTGTTCCCATTCAACACTAACCGGGGCAGGGGCCTCCCCGTCCCCCACCTTTCCTGACCCCGCTCTAGTCTCACACACAGGCAAGAATTTCCTTTAGCTTTGGTTCTCAAATTTCAGTATCACGCCCAGCCCTTCCTCCCAAAGCTTTTCACCCCAAGGAATACAGACTGCACGATGGCATTTGGTAATACCGACTCTTGCTTAAATACCATGCATTTGAAGACAGTTTAAGGGCATTTTACAAAGGTATGGCAAAAGGACTTAAAAAACAAATTTCCTGGGCTTGTGAGCTGGTGCTGCAGCAGCTGGAAAGGGCCACTACTGGCCATCACAGGGACTGCCTCCCTCTCCTCGCTAACACAGAAAGAATGCGTACAGACGAGGTGTTTGTGCTGGAGCCATTCCCAAATGCCAACTTTGAAGGGACGATCTGCCTGACACTGCAACTCAGGAAGCACATGCAGGGGAAGGAGGAGGAGAGCAGCAAGCAAGGAATCCCCTCCAAATTTCCAGTGCTGTCTAAGAGGAACAAACATGTCTCAGACACAGAGAAACGACCAATGGTCAACTGAGGGGTTGTGCACAGCCCAACACCAGAACTTGCCTCTGCTGTAAATCACTGTGTGAGATGTGTGCTGGTGGGAGGCAGTAGCAATAGCTGATGTCCACAATCCCACAAAACAGCTTGCTGAGTTCTTGCATGCCTCAGCCCCAAAGCCAGGGAGTTCGAAGGCATTCAGAAACCGTACAAAAACTCAGCTGGAGCTACGAATCTTAACAACAGCTTTCCTTCACACCTGCAGCTCAGCCAAGGCTCCCACGTCTCAGTGTGCCCCAAGACTCTGTGTTTCAAAGGAATTTTAGAGCCCTTGACTTGTCTGGGGGAAAACGGGTCCAACAGCTACAAGGCAGCTTTTGTGGGCTCCTCCTCCCAACACACCGCAGTGTCAGTGGCGGAGGCAATGCCTGCCTGCAACAGCGCAGTCGGCTGCATTATTTAGTCTGGCACCAAGGAGAAAAGCTATCATCCATTTTTAAGTTAAATTCAGAGAACCAGCTGGGGACCAGCGATTGCCATTTCTGAAGTGCAAGAAGAGGAGTGTAAGCAGCCTTTCCATAGTAACAAAGATTAGCAGCCTGCAGTCTGACACTCCTCCTGCATTAAAAGATAGGAGACAAAGCGATAGACAGGTAATTACATAGACAGGGCCCTGGGGAAATTGCAAACTCCTCGAGAACCCTTTAGCTGGTCTGTATGTTTCTCCTTGTCTCCATTTCCACTGAAGGTCTCAAAGAAACATTTGCCCATTAGGTCATTAGCTTTATTGCAGAAGGTAGCCAGGCAGCTGGTAGCAGCCGTTCAATAAAGACTTCGCTTGCCTCTGCACCATCACGAATGAGATGGAGAATGAGAAAGAACATCCCAAGGCACATTACCTGTCTGCAGCTTATCCTTGATAAGTTAGTGTACTTAGTCAGTCTGAGGGGTCTGACAAATGAACTCTGACAAATCTCACTGGTGCAATTTAAGACATTATTGCATTGCAATGTCTCCCCAAACCCTTCACAAAGGTTAGCACCACAGAGCAAATCTAGAAGAAAAACATACATCATGCATTGGCCTCTCAAATTCAGAACCTAGCAAGCTCACATAAACTCCTTCTCAGTGCTAGGTTAAGACATTAAACTGAACTGCAAAGGCTGAGGTCTAAACAGAAGACACTGCCTCCATTACAAGAAGCATTTGCCTTGATCACAGGGTCAGAATGGCATCTCAATGCAGTGCAGTTAGTTCCTAAAGAAATACAAATCTCAACATTCAGTTTCAGTATTGAAATATACATGCAATTTGTCCAGAAGCTTACTTCAGTCTACTCAAGCATCCCATTATGCTCTATGAATCACAGCACGCATATACCCTTGCAAATTTTATGTCTGGAAATGGAAAGACTGACATGGATTGCATCATAATATGTAACTACAAAATGTAATTGCTTGAAGATATTACAAAAAAGGTACTTCATTTGAATTCTCACCCACGGTATTTTGCACTTCTGCCCAAAACTTTAAATCTGGAGAGGCAGAGAATTACTGTCTGTCCTCAACTCTTCACAAAACACCATTCAGATATGGAGCTGGTGTTCCAGCTCATTCATATCTTATCTGTCAGTGGTACAAGCAGCCATGAAACCACTGAAGACCCCAGAGAAGACAACCAGGTTAAAAAATAAGAAAAACTTAATGAGATTGTATTTTTCAACTTGGCTTCTTTAAATTGCAGTATCTTCTCATCTAAGCTAATATTCAAAGACATAGTTAATCAGTCCACAGTACAAGAGCTATATTATTATTTTTTCCCCACAAGTATTTAAAAATCTACCTCATCTTCCAGTTTTTCATGAGGGACCACATCCTGCACATAGAAGCGAAGCACCAAGTGCACAAATCTTTTGCTTGCTTCAGACTATTAAAGGCAAGGGAAGAGCAACCCATGTTAGCCAGGAGACTTGTCTAAACTCCATGTAGACAAGCCTCTTCTAAGATCACCCTTCTTTCCAAGAGGAACCGAGCAGGCAAGACACCTCAGAGAGCAAATAACAATTGCCTCTTACCTTTTTGAAGAGGCCGCCGCCAATTAGCACATTCCTGGAGCTTCTAAATCAGGCAAGGAAAGGGGGAGGTGGGGGTTGGAGTTGTTTTCTTCCTCAGCACAACAGTATTTCCTAAAGGAGAAAACAAAACAGAAAAAGTAAGTATCTGTTGATAAGCATTAGTTGTGTTCTTTTTAAGACGCTGCAGAATACAACAACTACTTCAATGAGCTAATGTGCCTCTCCTTCCCCAGCCCCAAAACATCAGCTCAAGCTGTTCTGTCTCTTATTAACTCAAATAAGGAATATGAAGGCTGAGTCACCTACTACTAAGAAAAATAAAGATGGATTCACCCCAGGTTGGGATAAAGTCCCATAATCAGGATGGTATGAAGTCCCAACCAAAAATATTCTTGAGCATTCATTAGTAAAGAACAGAGAAGTAAACACGTTTCAGCCACACTCACACCCACTTCTGTGGTAAGTTAAATGAACCGTTTTTACTACCAAAATAGTCGGCAAAAGGCAAATTCCAACTCGTATCCTGAACATATATATAGGGATATACTGACATTCAAGTGCTTACATACTCTGTACTGCAAGAATCATGTCTAGAATTATGAGGCATGTGCAACCAGTCATAACTTCTATTTCTTTTGCTTGATGTAACTATTCTTCTTCTTAAAACAACCTATTTTCTTTAGACAACTTACTCCAGCTCCATTGAATCTTTCAATAAATAGGAGAAAAAATGAAATACCAGAATGAAGGGAAAGGGAACCAAAAAGCATTCTTGTGAATAAAAATGCCATTTAGAAGTCATTTTTTCCCCTGCTTCACTGCCATAAAACCATAATGCCTCACCTCAGCCTCTCTCTTTGCCCCATTCTGACCAGGAATTTAAGGAAACTTACAGACATCCAGATTTAATGGGCCCCTCCCTACCTCCAGTACCTGCTTCTGATGAAAGGCAGGAAAATCAAGTGGAAAATTAGTTTGAAGGGTGCATGCAAGCCATTAACATATTTGAGGAAATGGCAATCCACTCAAGGTTCTCTGTGCGGAATGAGCACAGGGAAACACATCCATGTCTGTTCTCCATCACATTTTGTTAGCTCAGATTCACGCACAAAGCACTGCCCTTTTTCTGTCCCACGGAAAATCCAAACGCAAGACTTCATAATATGAAAAGAAGCCCACAATAGACTTCTGCACACACCTTCATCACACACACACAAAAGACACTTATACTGCCTGCCGAGAGTGCAGAATGGCAAAGGGGATCCTAGTCCCCCAGAAGAGATTCTGTATGTACAAGGAGTCCCAACAGATACAGAACAGCAGACCAGGCAGCACTTCTATAAAAACATCTCCCTCCAGGCCGACCATGTCTGTCCGATTCCAAATGGCCACAGTTCCTGCATTTCTCTCGAGGACAAAAGCTCTGCTCTTCTCTCCTCCTGTCAGCAAGGCTTAAAGCTGCAAGACTAATTCTGTCCAGATTCCCCTCGAGATAGGCAATGATTTAAAGAATTCGTGAAGTAACAGTGGCAGTGTAAATAAACAATGAAAAACTAAATAAGGATCACAAAAAAAGGGAAAACACGCACTAAGGAGAGAAAGAACAAGATCAGTGACTCCAAATCTCCTCTACCTTGTTCCACTCACCATAAATAGGTCATGCAATATCTGACTATGCAGAAGAAGAGAATCCGAGACAAAGTCAACCTCTTCAAGGCTCTGCCTCCCCAGCCTGTTCCCTGCAGGCAGACCTTCCTTCCCACACTGGTTTATTCCACTTGCCTGGCGTCCTACGTCCCCTTGGCATTCCCACCTGCCGTCAGACTCCAGTCCCCTTTGTGCTAATGGATGCAAAGCAATTTAAGCCAACATAGGGAGTACTCATACTCTTACACTTCTTATAAAAAAAAAAAAAAGGGGAGGACATGTTACTACAGCCCTCTGCGCAGAGACCTTCAGCGAGTTGCTGCTAACACACAGCTGTCCCGAGGCAACCTGCTACGCTGTACCTGCTGAGCAGCTCAGTGAACAGGTCACTATATGTTATACCCCCACAAACACCCTCTCATTTTGCATCCCGAAGTCTAATGCATCATTTACCCCTTTTTTCCCCCCCCATTATTAAATCCCCCCCATTAAAGAATGCTTTAGACAGCATTTTTCTCTCTGGTAAGAGAAACCCCCCACCATAAGTCAGGTGAAGTCTGCTAAGAATTGATATATTGGTTACATTTCAAGTGCATAAAATTTTACACTTCCATCCTCTAACTGCCAAAAGAAAAAATTTAGAGTCAATGCACAAGATTTGGAGGAAGCATATTTTTAGTCAAACATAAAATCAAGGTGGCAAAAAAGAAGGCTAAGTGCAAAAAGCTAAAGTTTATTAACAGCATCCTCAAAGACAGAAATCTGTCGTAAGTACCACTTAGGGATGTAGTTTTGACTCAGACATCACTTCCCTCAAAGTAAGTGAAATTGTTCTGTTCTCAAATCCTCAGGCAATAAAAAATGAAGTAAAATGAGCAGAAATAATGCATTACCTAAAAGTGAAAATCTAATTGGAGAAACCTAGTGAAATGACGTACTATACAAAAAGACTTGACTCAATTTCTGGCAGGACCAGAGATAATTTATTTGAGAAAAATGTCAAAATGTTTTGGGTCTACTGATACGACAGGAAGGAAACAAACAGAAAACTGGGAAACATGGTATGGAAACCAACAAATCGTTGACATCAACATTAGATAAGCGAGGAGGCATATGTTAAGACAAACACCCTCATATGGTGTGTGAGTCAACTTCTGCAGCACATTCAGCCAAGTTACTTTCCTATATCAAGCTTAATAAAAATCATCCTCAATTCCCCCAGCCAGAGCTGGGTTTTCATCAAGTCTTGCACTACGCATGGCAGTTCTGGACAGGGCTCGAACCGAAGGTTCAGAACTGGACCAGCTGTTCTGAAATGCAACCTCGACTCCCCTTCTTCCCAAAGGACCAGTGCCAAAGGGTTTGGAAACCCTTCTTTCGAAAAGATCAGTGCCAAATGCATTCCTCTTGGTGTATAATGGAAATACAGATTTTTTTTTCCAGGTGTTAACTAAATCTATTCCATTTCCCACAGTCAAAAGATCCTGCATGATATTCATCAGGATCTAATCCTCAATTTAATTGATTCAGTCATTTTAAGCTCAGAAAACAATGAGTTTTGAGAAAGTAGCTCCCCTCACTTCCAGTCTAAACCACACAGCCAACAAAGAGCTCATCCCCTCTATGTGATGCGACAGTGACAAGGAGCTCCCTCTGCATTGGGCTTGCTCCCAGCTGGCTGGGGAACTGCTCTGTTGAAGGCAGCCTCCATCATACACAACCGACCCAGAAGGTTTTCTGATTTATTACATCTCCTGTTACGTTTATTACATTTATCACAAGAACTAGAGGAAGGAACGACATCAGTGTGTTGCTGTATATAAGAACAACCCCCAACCTCAACGCCTCCCCCCTTGTGTTTATAACATAAGGCAAAGCAGGGTTAAAAAAAGAGCAGCACACGATCACCAGCTTGCACACTTTAAAGGGGCAAGAGCACCAGTCTTCTCAAGGTTCTTCAGTCTTCATTTTCCAAATGGCTACTTGCCTTCAGATAAAATAACTGCTTGCTCAGCTTACACTAATAGAAATAGGTCAAGTTCATATCATAATAAAATATGCTTTTATATTCACCTGTTCTCAACCTCCTCAACAAGGCTTCATCTAATAAAGTAACTACTCCATGAATACCCATTGAGGTAGAAATAATCACAATTCCTCCTTGTAGAAAACAAACACACAAGGTAAAAGCACTCCTATCCACCATCACAGAATCACAGAATCACAGAATTTCTAGGTTGGAAGAGACCTCAAGATCATCGAGTCCAACCTTTACCTAACGCTAACAGTCCCCACTAAACCATATCCCTAAGCTCTACATCTAAACGTCTTTTAAAGACCTCCAGGGATGGGGACTCCACCACCTCCCTGGGCAGCCTGTTCCAGTGTCTAACAACCCTTTCAGTAAAGAAGTTCTTCCTAACATCTAACCTAAAACTCCCCTGGCGCAACTTAAGCCCATTCCCCCTCGTCCTGTCATGACCGATTTCTCATCCAACCTCTGGCTGAAACGCTCCTTGGAACCGAGCCGCAGGGGCCCTCACATACCTCACCACAACACCGATGGCAGCAGAAGGCAAGCAGGGCTCTAGGGGTGCTGCCAAGCACACAGAGCAGGGACATGGGCTGCACACCTCTGGGCCACCCTGCCAGCACCCAGGGATTTTGGGTGCCCTCCCTCAGCTCTCAGGGCTGTACCCCAAGCCCCAGGGTTTGGAACCAGGAACCTTGCCTCCTTCTGTGGCAGGTTCCTTCCCCAATCCATTTTCTGATATCCGTAACTGAGACAGAGATCGCATGAAAATAAAGTTGCACTTAACATCACACTTAGCTACAGCAACCCAGAGATCAAGGTACAAAGAAAAAAAGCTCATTCAATTCAATATGAAGTGAAAACATCACCGTCATCAGCATGTGTGCACACATGCACACCTGTGCCTGTATACACAGAACAGGGTAAACACTTCCACCACAAACACCTGTACTGGAGGTATTTGTGCAGGAACAAGCTTCAAATATAAACATTATTTCTGCAGAACTCTATCTGCACAAAGAGGAAGCACTCTCTCTCTCAAGTATCTAGTACAAATAACTGAAAAATAAAGTTATCAAAATATTGTCGGAGAAGTGTAGTCAAAGGATAAAAACATTTTAAGAAAGAATCAAAACAGATCTCACATTTTCCTTTGATTTGCCCAAGGTCTTAGTGGACTTAACAGATTTACCCATCAACTGTTGTCCAAGTAGAAGACTGTTCTTTATTTATATGAAATACAATTCTGAAACCATACTTTTTATTAAATTTGAGTCACTTTCATTCAAATGCGAAATATATTAAATGTCATGTTTTTATTTAGAGGTGTTTACATACTTCTTTGCAGCTTAAATATACATCTAGGTATTTCTCTGCCTGCTTTGTGTCATAAAAAATAACTCATAGAATCATAGAATCATAGAATATCCTG